GCCGGAACCCTATGCGACGTACCCTCGTGTTCTGCAGGTTCGAGTTTTTGTTTTCTTTTCTCTTTCTGTAACTGCAACTTAATCAAGCTTTCCAGCCTACACCATTGCCATCTCGGTGTAAGTAAACAATCTTTTAAACTACCGATACCCCGTCCGTACCTAATTCCAGAGCGAAGGCCTTCCCTCTCCGCCCCCGCGTGCCCGGGCTGCTGGCCACAGCCCGCGTGCAGCGCGAAAAAGGGCTCGGGGCGCTCCCGGCCCGCACAAGTATGTTGCTCCTATGGATTAAAAGTACCATTATGACTGCCATGTAAAGTACAGGGGTGTAGGTCTTTACTTTTCATTCCATCCAGGAAGAGCACATACCATCTGCTGAAACTTCCTTAGCCTGACGAAGGGTTTTTGAACCCAAAAGCTTGCTTAATAACTATTCTCCAACTATTTGGGTTGGTCTAATAAAAGATATCAAATTCACCCAAGGAACCTTGTCTGCCTATGTAAAGTACAGCACATTTAAAAATTAAGTGTTGGCTTCTGCATTTTTATAAATGTGTTGTTTTGTTTCGTTAGGGGTACCGTGTTGCTATTGCAGAAAGAATCAGCAAAATCTGAGAAAAAAGGCAAGAAAAAATAGCTACTACCAAGCTATATTAGGTTTGCGCTACTGTTTTTAAAGCAATACTGCAATTTTTGGTGCACCACAAAAATATATAATATTTATTTTTCAAAAAATATATGAGAATATCCTTCTAAATTGCAGAACACTTTTGAATTAACCTATCTGTGCCATTTTGAAAATCTGAAGAGTTGAATGCATTGAGGCTTATAATTTCAAATCTTATCTTTCAGTAATTTAAGAGCCAAAGGAAAGCTTGATTATGGATGTACCTCATGTTTTGTCACAGTAGAATTCAGAGGGAAATCAATCATTTTTCATTACATCTTTATTGATCTGAATTAGACATATTACATTAATGTTATTATTAGAAACGTTCTGTATCTCAGTGCCTGTTGAATAATAGAGATTCACAGAGGGCACATCTACGCATTGTGCTACATCACCGTATGGCGTGCCATGGTGACAGCAATCAAATTGGTCTACACATGATCAGCAGCTACATCACCGTAGCAGCACATTCCCCAGTATAGCACACTGCTACAGCAACATGGCAGTGAAATCTAACTGTGCGCCATGCACACTGCACAGTAACTGCCTATACTGCACTGTGCTTTAGTACTTCCAAAAAAAAAAGTACTAAAGCATGGTGCCATAGCAACATCACTGTAGGGCAACATGTAGATGCCCAGAATCATATAAAAGGAGAGCTGAAAATGCCCTCAGAAGTGTATATAATCTAAGCTCTGCTTAAGGAAGAATCTTTCCTGTCTAAAATATGACAAACAAGTTTCTATCTAACCTACTCTTATAAGCTTCCAAGGATAAAAATTCCACAACCTCCCTGGGTAGCTTGTTCTAATGCTTAACCATCCTCATAATAAAAAATTCTTCCTAATCGCCAACATATAGTTCCCTTGCTGCAGTCCAAGTCCATTTTTCCTGTCCTGTCCCCTGGAGCCACAGAAAATAACATCATCATCCTATTTATATACCTGTATGTATTTGAAGATTGTTACCAATTCCCTCATAGGTTTTCTTTTCTTTTCTCCACACTAAGTAATCCCAAATCTTCCAACCATATTTTCCAGACCTCTAATAATTTTTGTTCCTTTCCACTGATTCTTTCTAATTTGTCCACATCTTTCTTGAAGTACAAGGCCCCAAACTGGACACAGTACTCCAGATGAGGCATTTCCAGTGCCAAACAGAGCCAAAGCAATGGTCCTATTAAGACAGCCCAGTACATTATTGGCCTTTTTTTTTCCCAACAAGAGTGCAATGTTGTCTCATATTCAGTTAACCATCCACTAGGTCCCCACCAGGTCCTTTTCAGCAGTACGGTAGCCTAGTCAATTATTTCTAATTCTATATTTGTGAATTTGACTTATTTCATTCTAAGTGTTTTTTTCAGTCTCGCATTCCACATCTGTAGTCATGTCTTCTTGGATGTGGCATCAAGAGGTTGGGTGCTGGTAAGGAAACTTTTGCATGACTTCAGTCATTTGTGTGTTGCAGGATAGTGTCGTACAGTGGGTTCAACTATTGATAACTATTCTTTGAGCTCAGTGATCCAACCAGTTATGCATCTACCTTACTTTCATTTAGATTATGTTTCCTTTGGTTACTGATAAGAATGTCATGAATGACAGTGTCAAAAGCCTTGCTAAGGTCAAGGTATATCATGTCCACTGCTCTTCTAACATCCACAGAACCTGTCACCTTATAGAAAGAAATCCGTTTTTTTAGGCATGACTTGCTTTTGAAGACTCTGTACTGGCTGGCTGAACACCTTGTTCTCCTAAAGGTGCTTAGAAATAGATTTCTTTAATGACCTTCTCTACGATCTTTCCAGATACAGAGATCAGGCTGACTGGTATATCATTCCCCAGCTCCTCCTTCTTCCCTTTCTTAAAGATGGACACTTTATTTGCCTGTTCCAGTTGTCCAGGGCCCCACCTGACCTCCCTGATCTCTTAAAGATAACAGCAGTGGAATAATTTCTAACTTGTTGGTCCTCTGCTTTAGGCTGCTTATCTCCTACCCAAACCTTGCTGCCAAATGCACTTGTTATTGGGTAGCTGACCTTATTCATGAAGACAGAAGTAAAAAGACTTAAATATTTCAGCCCTTTCTGCATCACTCCTTTATTTAATTGCCCTTTGCATTTGGTAAGGAACCTACACTTTCCTGAGTCTTTTTCTTCTGACATACTTGTAGAATGCTTTCTCTTGCTTTTACATCCCTTCTTAGTTGTATCTCAGTTTGTTCCTTAGCCTTCATCATATTCTCCCTGCATGCTTGTGTAATACTCTTATACTCATCCCTAGCAATATGGGCAAGTTTCTACTTATTGTAAGGTTTGTTTTTGAACTGCAATGAATTGAGAAGTTCATTGTTTCCCCAAGCTGGTATGTTGCTGCACTTTCTATCCTTTCTTCACACCGAGACAGTCTGCTTTTGTGCCCATAATATGGTCTCTTTAAGGTAAAACCAATTCTCCTTGATTCTTTTTTGTCTCAAATTTGTCTTCCAGGGAATTATGCCCACCAGTTCCCAGAGTTTGGGAAGATCTGCTTTCCTCAAGTCCACTATTTTTATCCTCCTTCCTTCTCTTTGGATCTTGACCTCTATTGTTTCATGGGCACTGCC